CCCAGGCTGGTTACCAGAGCCCAGGGAGAGCAGCTGCTGGGAGAGGGTCCCACACAAGGGGGGCTGTCAGGGGGCAGGGGACTCACCCAGGAAGGCAGGGAGGGGAGGTAGGGCTGACGGAAGTGCCTGCCCAGCACCCAACAACCGGGGACTGAACCACAACGAGGCAAGCTCAGGAGGCAGCAGGCACAGCGCACCGCGCCCTTGGAAGAGCCCCGGATGCAGACGGTGCCTGGATCCAACAGGCAGCCCTCGGGTGAGGAAAGCCAGTGACAAACCTGTGAACACAGAGACCCCCCATCTGGGAACCCATCCAACGTTCCAGAGGGTGACGGTGTGGGAGGTGGGGGTCCCCCCTCCTGTGTTCAAAGCTTCAATCGTGTACAGCTTGCCCGTGTCACCCCTGTGATGCTGAGGGTTCGACAGCAGAGCCGTGACCTCACCGAGAACACAGTGGCTCCTGAAGCTCTGATTCAGAGCTAGTTGGAGGCGGAGCGCTTTTTAAAAAAATATAGGTTTTTATTGATTTTTAGGGAGACGGGGAGAGGGACAGAGAGATAGAAACACTGATGAGAGAGGAACGTATCAACCTGGGCCTGTGGCCTGACTGGGAATCGAACTGCAGCCTCTTGGTTCCTGGGTCGACGCTCCACCACTGAGCCACCCCAGCTGGGCACGCTGAGCACGTTTGAAGCCAACTCTATTAGTTACCAAAGTACAACGGGAAGCAGGGAGCACGCAGTCACGACAGCCTCTCTCTCAGAGGTGAACCCTGGCCGGCTAACTTCCCGAAGTCCTCTTGTCGGGCGATTAACAAGGAGCAGCCTGTGTGGAGGAAGTGGCTCCCGGCCGTCAGCTGCGATTGCTCCAACTATGAAACCTCATCCCAAGCCACCACCGACCCAGCAGCCACTGCCAGCATCAGCGCCGACCCTCTCACCCACCGCAGTGCCTGCTGCGGCTTCAGTTACCCGCGGTTAACCGCACCACGGATTAAAGGAAAAGATTCCAGAAATGAACAGTTAGTGCGTTTAAAATTGTGCACTGTTCTGAGTAGCATGATAAAAATTTCACGCCATCCCACTCCATCAGGCCAAGGACGTGAATCATCCCTTCTTCCTGCGACTCCTCACTGTATACGCTACCTGCCTGTTAGCCACTCAGTAGCCGGCTCGGTTATCAGACTGACATTCATGGCAGCATAGGGCTTGTGTTCAAATCACCCTTATGTTACTGCTAGAGGCCCGGTGCATGAATTCGTGTATGGGCGGGGTTCCTCAGCCTGGCTGGTGATAGGGTCAATTGGAGCTGTCTTGGCCAGTCCTGACCGGGGCCAATCAGGGCCAGCTGGCCAGGGGAGGGACCACGGGAGGTTGGCTGGCCGCGGGAGGTTGGCTGTGGGAGCACCATGACCACCAGGGGGCAGCTCCTGCATTGAGCATCTACCCCGTGGTGGTCATTGCACGTCATAGTGACCAGTCGACTGGTAGTTCAGTCAACTGGTTGTAATGGTCGCTTGGGCTTTTATATATATAGATTAACTAGAAGCCTGGGGCACGAATTCGTGCATGGGGGGCAAGGGGGTAGGTCCCTTGGGGTGGCCTGCATAGATTGGGCCCCGGCTTGCACCCCCAGCCTTGTAGCCCCAGCTCGTGCCCACAGCCTCGCAGCCCCGCCTTGGCCTGGCACCACCCCTTCACCTGCTCCACCATACTTCCTGTGGGGTGATTGATCAGGGCCAGGCCCCCTGCCCAGCTCCCTCAGTGCCTGGGAGCCAAGCGGTGGCCTCGTCCCCCACCACCGCCACTGGTCACTGTCTGTGGGGTGATAGGTCATGGTAGGGCCCCCCACCTGGCTCCCTCAGCACCTAGGAGCCGCCCTGCCCCCCACCACTGCTGCCTGTCGCTGTCTGCGACTGGTGGGATAATCGGCACCCCCTTGGCCTGGTGCCGCCCGCTTACCTTCTCCAGCATCCTGCCGAGGTCCTGCTCTCATCAGGGCCCATCAGGCCCAGCAGTGCCTCCACTGCCCAATGCCTGCCATGTTCCGCGCTGCCCCCTGGTGGTCAGCGCATGTCATAGTGAGTGGTTGAACTCCCGGTCTCCCAGTCTGATGACCATCCGAGGGGGAAATTTGCATATTAGGCTTTTATTATATAGGATGGCCCCAGAGAGCAACAGCAGTGGTGGTGCTAGCAATTCAGGTACGCCAAAGGGAGGCCATAAAGCGCTTCCTATAAGTGAAAAGGTGAGGACAGTACAATCGGATATTTTGAGAGAGAGAGAGAGAGAGAGAGAGACTACATATAGCTTTTATTACCATATATTGCTATAACTGTTCTATTTTATTATTAGTTAATGTTGCTAATCTCTCACTGTGCCTAGTTATAAATAACACTATCACAGGGAGGCATGTATAGGAAAACATAGGGCCATTACCATCCTCGGTTCAGGCATCCATGGGGGGCCTTGGAGCGGAGCCCTCACGGACAAGTGGGGGACCAACAAATGTAGAGCACTTGAAAAATAAACATCAGAGAGGGCTGCCAACGGCTCTCTAATCTCCCTTCTGCGCTCAGGGAGTTGGGCAGAGAGGCTCCTCAATTCCGCTGAGAACAATGTGGGGGCGCCTGCCCTCCTTTCCAGCTGGGCGGCCCCTGGGGGTCCAGGGGAGGGGGTGGGGGGCAGAGCGGTGCAGGAGGTCCTGAGTTGAGGGGCGTGAACTTGATTGCTTCCCAGTTGCCCCCCAGCACTGGACCACCCTGTAAGCTCTGCCTTCTTAGGGCCTGCAGACACCAGCCTCACTCATTCTCCAAAGCTCCAGGCACAGTAATCACCTACCAGGCAGGCACCACTTCTCACACACAAGGGCCTGTGCTAGGCACTTGCCTAATTGGTGAAAAACAGCCCTGACACACAGATTGACTGCCTCTGCTTCACAGCAACAACACTGAGGCTTCCTGAGGCCTCCCAGGCATCAGGCGGTGGCGGTGGAGCTGGGGCTCACAGCCAGGTCTGCTGGCCCCGGCCGGAGCCTCGGGGACGACCTCGTGGAGGCTCCCTGCCCGGCAGCCTGGACCACCTTCCAGCAGCGGCCTGGGCAGCTCACAGCACAACTCACTCACCATGTGCCGGGACCACAGCCGCCTGGGCCCAGAGCCTTCCTCTGCCTCCGGGCCCAGCCCTTAGAGCAGCCCTCCCACCTGTGGGGATCCAATGAGGACAGAGAGAAAAACCGGCCAGCACAGAGGCACCGGCAGCCTCGGGCGCTGCCAGGGGCAGTGGGAGCACCAGGCTGAGGTGCCCTCTAGGCGGGTGCCCGAAGCCTGGGAAACGCTCCTGCCGTTTCTCCACAACAGGACTCAGAAGCCACGCCGAGGGTGGAGATAGGGGCCTGTAGGCGTTCACGCTGCAAGCAGGGCTCCACCTTCAGGCTTCTTCCCGATAAGACCTCAACTGCCTCTAGTTTTTTCACATTTACAATGTAACTGCTCCCCAGCCACGCAGAGACTGGCCGGGACGCCTGCACAGGCCCCGGCTCACTGTCCCCCCGGCAAGTCCACCTGCAAAGGAAGCCCAGCATATGCACTTCCTCTCATTGAGACGCCAGGAGGCGGCGGCTTTACTGCCCAAACAGCCCGCGTCCACGAAGCGGGGCGCCTGGCGAGCATGCGCTTCTCCAGGGGAAACGGTGGAGCCCGTACGACGGCCGGGCGCCTGCTGAGATACTGCCTTCAGATCCAATCAAGTCCCCTTCAGCCTCAAGCTCAAGGCCCGCCCACGATATGGTCCCAGTCTCACTCTCTACTCATTTCTCACTCTCTCGATGCAAACTCTACACCCGACAGAGGCCCCGTGACCCCGGCGCTTCCAAGCCCACGCCTTCGTGCACGCGATTCTCTTCATCCCACTACCTTCAATCTGGTTTTAAGCAAACACTGGCCCTTTAACGCCACGTCAAATCCCACTTCTCTGTGACATTTCCTGAAGCCCGTGCCCCGATGCTGTTCTCTCTCCACCTGTCCTGCCATCTCAGAGCGCAGTGCACTTGTCTTCCTCATAGATGAGTTCTGCTGGTGGCTCCCTGCCCGGCAGCCTGGGCCAGAGGCCGCATTCTCCGCTGGACTGGAGTGAGGCGAACTGCTCTGGAGACAAAGGTGGCGAACAGGTGCCCACACACACCGTGGCCTCCATGGGGCCTGCCGCTGTCCTGCCCGGTTCCCGTCGGTGGTTTGCGCCAGCACAGGCTCCCACACTAGCCCCCTCAACGACCTGGCCTGGAGATAAGGTGCTGCAGGAGCTGCCTGTCCACACCCACAGGAAAATGGGATTAGCTGTGATATACATGCTCTGCAGCTGCAACCAGAACAGAGCTGGCCAGGCATGCAGTCCACAGACTGCTTCACGGACGTGCCAGCTGTCCTGCTCCCCCTCGCAAGAGCTAAATTCATCTCCCGCAAGTGTTCCTGGGAGACAGGCCCCGTCCCGTCCACCTCAAAGGCAGCTTTCTCCCAGCCAGAAGCCTGCAGGGTAGCCCTGCAACATTCCCCGGTGTTTACCAGCCTCTGAGAAACATTCTTCTGCCCAGCAAGGCATGCCACAGGCACGGAGAAGTACTCGGTACATACTTCAGTTACTCTGCAACAATGTTTGTGGGAGACCTGAATGCTCTCCACACCAACCTGCTTCCTGACCCCCTCGCCCTCGCCTCACCAACCTGGGGATGTGGGTGGGCAGAAGATTCTGCTGGGAGAGGCAGGGGTCTCCCAGGGGACGCAGTGAGAACCACCACAGAGGCGCCCCTTTCAGCAGCTGCTCCCAGCAGACCCTCCCTCTGCCCTCCTCGCTGACGCGGGTCTTGCCTCCCTGAGCGGTCAGAGCCACACTGGCCACAGTAAAGGAGCCAGGGACACCCTGGCCACAACCTGAGCCTGGGAGTCGCGCACAGGGGAGCGAGTGGTGTGGGCTGTGGCCAGCTCCCGTGACGCCACGCATCCTCACCTCATCCCACTCCGAGGCGAAGGAGGGCGACTTCTCCAGCCTCTTCTTCCCGACGCTGCAGTTGGACAGGGACTCGCTGCGGCTCCCCATCGCCGCGTCCTCCGTGGGCGAGCAGGTCAGGAGGTCGGAGTCAGACTTGGACAAGCTGCGGCTGAGCTTGAGTTCAACTTTGGGCTTGCTGGTGGGAAGGACTCGGCTTCGGGCCCCGCTCTGGTCTCCCTCCGCGGCACCCCCGGGGTGTGGAGATGCTGTGTGAGTCAGAGTTTCGGGGTGCGGTAGGCTGTTGGCGGTGGGCAGGCCTGCTGGGTAGCCCCCTCTCTGACTCTGGTCCAGGCCGCCGGGCGGGGAGCCTCCAGGAGCGCGCACGCCCGCCTCCTCCAGCTGCATGCTGGCCTCGTGGCAGGTGCCCTGCGCGGGAGACCCTTCTGGAAGGCTCTGGCCGGGGGCAGGGAGCAGCTGGAAAGCGTCCTGCCCCACCTCGTACACCGGGGAGGAGCCGTGGAGGAGCCCGGAGAACTGCTCAGGGACCTGCCCGTCCTGCCCCTCCGCCGAGTCCTGGCTCTGGCCGCTGCTGCTCCGCCTGTGGTCTTGAAACGGAGAGAGAAATAAAAAATTAAACGGGGCAAAAATCAACAAAGTTCCAAAGCAGCAAGCAGACGGCAGAGCGGAGGAATTCAAAAACAGAGGGGGGAGGGGGGAGAGAGAGGGAGGGAGAGGTGCTGAATGGGCTGGGAGAGGGCAGAGGGGGAGAAGAGCGAGGAAGAAAACAGTTTCGCATTGTTCTTATGCTCAGTTTGTACCCAAAGTCAGAGCATTTATGAAATTCCAAACACTGGCCTGGTTAATGCCACCTGGCAGCCTTCCCTGTTGTGAGGCTTCTGTCAGCATTAACGACCAGACCTTGCTATATAAGGCGAGAAGCGCTAACTATATCCTGCCTGGGGAAAGGACAGAGGAGAGAGTGAGCGCACACAGAGAGCACAGTGAGAGGGAGGGAGAGCGTGCCAGCGAGCAAGTGTGAGCGAGGGCCGGCTCCTGGAACATCTGATAGGCTCCCATGAAGGCCAAGTGTTATTCAGAGCCACTGCCCGCCCTCTGGCTGGCGAGCAGCAGGGAGGGAAGGGAAGGTCAGGATCCCAACCTGCAACTTCTGGAATTCCTTAACTGAAAGTGCAAAACAAGCGGCGAGAAATGACGCTTCCTTCCTCGGAGGGGCTCAGTCCACGCCTCATCCTTCCTTCTGCGGCAGCACTTTCCTCTCTTCCTGAGAATGTGCACATCTCACCGCCCCGGAGCCTCCCAGCTGCTCCGACTGGTTTAGTTAACCCCAGTTGGTCCACTGACAACAAAACGGTCTACTCGGCCAGTGCCAGGAGGCTCCTGGGCCTCCAGACCCACACCCAGTGCCTCACGCCCCGCACCAACGCTTCTGCCCCGGAGGAGCATAAAAACTGACCAAGTCAGCGTCCAACACGGGCTCACACGGGACGCCGAGGGCTCGCCCGCACGAGCGGGCCCACGGGGAGGTCTGACCCACACCGGCAGGAGGAAGACAGCCCTGCCTCCAGTCCCAGCACACATTCCAGAGCCAGGGCTCAGCTTTATTTCCTCTGCAGCGGAAGCTATGCACACACACCAAACGAGTCCCCAGTCTGCCCAAGGCTCCCAAGAGCTGTCCCTGAGATCCGAGTCTTAGAACTGAGAGGGTGGCGTTTGGCTGTTTTCACAGATGAGACGTGGGAGGCCCCCAGGCCGCTGGTGGTGGGTCCAAGGGGGAGGCTCTAACCCAGGCGCCTGACACCTGGCTCTCCTGGCCCTGCTGCCTGAGAGCTGTGCGGCCCTGGCAGTGAGCTCTACTTGCTGGGCTGACGTATCCAAAATAAGTAGGTTGGACTGCACGGTCCTTCAGAATCCCTTTTATGTTAGGGTAGTGATGAGAACCCAAGTCTTCCCCATCTGCGATGGCAAGCTTCTCCCCCTCCGTGGGCACCACAGGGCCCGGCCTGGGCCTGTGTAGCACCCACGCCCCCCATCAGCTTGCCTGCAGCCTGAGAACCCTTCTTGAGGCTCAGTGCCCCAGGGAGGGGTGCACTAAGGCAGGCCCCCTGCAGGGCACGGTGCTGGGTGCTGTGCCCCGGCGCTGCTCCCTCCAGACAGCCTGAAGGCAGGGCCAACAACCAGCTCAGTGAACCTGTCACCCGTCACCCTGAGGTCTGCCCAGGACCAGGGCCGGCCCCACTCCCCCACCCTCTCGAGAAGAGCGGCCTGCAGAGCTGCGCGGTTAACAGCACTCTGCCCTCAGGTATGAACTTTGGCGTCTCCTTCCTCTACACTCGACTGCTCCCGGACTCTCACCCTACCTCACAGGCCCTGCTCCCCAGGGGTCAGGGGCAGAGCACGGAACCAGCACAGAACAGGCCAAACAGTCCCCAGGGAGAAGAAAAGCTGGGAACACAGCGCTCCACATAGCCAGGCTCAGGCTGGACACCATGCCTCCAGGGCCAGGAGCACACAGGAACCCTGGCGCCTGAACAAAGCCGCCCTGTGCTGCCGGGTGGGGCCCGAGAGGACGGCACTTGACGTCCAATGACGATGGGGTACTGCAAAACCTGCCACCTCGAGGACTTATCCTAATGGCCAGCCCCCCGCAGGTCCTGCCCAAGGTGCCCGTCCCTGACTGCTGGACACAGGGAGGACTGTAACGGGAGCACAGGCTGCCATTTCTTTGCATCAGCTTCTAGCTTCTTATTTAACAGTTTGGAGGGAGGGTCGGAGGGGTGGGGTAAGTCCAACAACAAAAGAGAAACGCCACAGCCCAGAATCAGGAGCCTGCGTGGCCGCTGCGTGGGTGGACATGCTCTGCCTGCTGCCGGGGACCGACAATGAGGCCCTATCTAGCAGCTGCCATTCAAGCGAGCCTTCAATGAAGAAAGAGAGACCGATGCCAACAGCTCAATACCAGACTCATGCCGGGGGAAGGGAGTGGGCAGAACAGAGAAATGGAAACTTATGGAAGAAGGAAACATGTGAAGAGGAAGAATTTCTGAGGGTTGTAGTCCCATTAGAGAAACCACAATCCACCAATACTGTATGGAGCGTAAGAAATCACCAGAGAGGACCCTCAGGCCTGACCGGAACTCACCGTGCTCCCACCTTTGGAATGACAAGGCTCCCGCCCTCCTCCCACCTGCCCCGGCACTCCTCGCAGCCTGGCTTCTGGGGGAGAACAGAAGGGAGCAGGGCGTGCGGAGGCCCGTTTCCTCGCGCTCGCCCTCGTACACCAAGGCCAGCTGCTCCACAGAATAGGACACTCCAGCCTGCTAATCCCCACCCCCTTCAACTTGCCATCATAATTCACTTTCCTGTGCGCCATGTGCTGCTGAAGCAAGGGGTCCGCCAGGCTGCATGTAATTACTGTGATGATCCGTGGGGACCTCAAGGGCTTTGGAATAATAACATTTTAACATTTACACATTCTTAGTCACCCCTGCCCATTTAAATTAGGATGAAAAATGGGACTCATGGGAGGACTCTCTAAGTCAAATCAATCCCCAGACCCAGAGGAGGAAGCTGGGGTACTCCCCTTTCCCAGACTGCTCCGTTCTGTCCCATTAGGACTGAACCCTGTAATGGCTTAGGTGCCGTGTGAGCGTCAGAAACCTGCTTTTGCAGGGTCACCCCACTTTCCCCAGAGGGGAGCTGCTGACGAGGTCACGCAGACATCGCTGGACATCGCATCTGAGCAGACAAGTAGACGGAGGCTACTCTGGTCCGTGGCAACCAGAGAAACAGAAGGGGAGGCCCGAGCTGCACCAGCCCTGCGGCTTTTCCTCTCTGGGTCTTTTTCAAAAATGAGCGGTGGGCTGCCTTCTAGGGCTTGAGAAGCATGGCTTGAATCTGTGCTTAGACGACCCATGTCCCTCCCAGCTCCTGCTGTTAAGAATGTGAGTAGCAGAGCAGGGATCTGGGTGAAATGACTTAACCTCATGGCTAAAGAGGCTTTGGATCCAGCCAACCAGGGCTTAAGGCCCAGCTCTAACACCTAACTTCTTCCTCATCTACTTAACTGGGGTAAAAATAGCTCCTCCAAGAAGGTCTGTCTGGGTATTTGATGACCTGAGCGGTGTAAACGAACTCAGCACGTGGCTGGCCCATAAGCAGCATTCAGAAAGCGGAAGCTGCCTTCCTATCAACCTCTTCCACCCACAACCATCCACACTGCTCTCCATGCGGACACTGCGCACAGAGGCTGCGTGCCTTTCTCCCGACTCTGCCAAGAGCCAGGGATCTCCGGAGTGGCCCTGTAAACAGGCGGAATAAAACGCAGGCGCCAGGACAGGCCCAGTAGCCTTGCAAGTTCGGTTCAAGGTGACATGTCACAGTGGCCAGGGGCCTCGCCACCCTCAGCAGCACCCTCAGATGCAGCACTGCTCTGGGGCCCATCGACTTGTCCCCTCCATGTCCTTCAGCCCCTCCTGAGCCTATACACTGCCTGCTGTTGGACCTCTGGCTCCTCAAACTGCCCTGGTTACCATATTTTTCCGTGTATAAGACGCTATTTTTTTTCTAAAATTGTTAAACTTAAAATCGAGGGACAGCCGAGGAGGGAGCCATGGGTGCCTAGCTGCCCATACCTTGTCAAACAGGCTTCCTCCAATCACAAGCGTTATTGTTATTGACGTCAGCTGATGCCATAACTGGAGGCGGAGGTGAAGAGTGCGCAGATGCAACAGGCACCTGAGCCCATAAAGATGTCAAAAAATAAAAAGATAAATTCCGGTGATCGATTGTCTTACTCTGCAAAATTCAAACTGAGTGTAATCAGCTCTGCAAAAGAGCACGGGAACAGAGGTGCAGAGAGACAGTGTGGACCCCCTCCCACCAAGTGTGTGACCAGACAGCGGAGAAAACAGGAAGAGCAACTCCTTAAGATGCCAAAAAAGAAGGCCGTAAGAGGAAAACCAGCAAAATGTTTAAAACATTGATTTCCTAATTTTGGGTTGGAAAAGTGGGGGGCGTCTTATACACGGAAAAATATGGTAACCCGCCAGCTCTGGGGATGTGCCTGATTTAACAGCACACTCGCCAGCCACTCTGCTCCCTTGATCTCCTGCCAGTTCCGACTGGGCATGCACAGCCATGTGCTTCCTCCTCTCCGGTTGCTGGAATGTTGAGCCGAATACTCAAGAAACAACTGACTGCGTCCTCTACCCATTCCTCTAGCTCAGCTGCTTCCAATCGCTTCAATGTATTAGGAGCTAGTGATTCTGTGCTAAGTAATGTTTTTTAATCACCACGGCATCCATGAGGTAAGAATCTGTATTCCTATTTCACACGTAGAAAATGAGGCTTAAAGAGGTTAAATGACTTCCTCAAAGGCATCAGCCAATGAGCGGTAGAGCAAGAATCCAAGCCAGCCATCCTGGGAACTGTGGTATCTCCGTAAGATCGATTCCTCACCTCTTCCACTCCCTTCACACTGTCATCTTTCCCACAGCACCTATACATACGCCTGGAAGACAGTCACGAATTTCCTGAGGAGACTTAGATCCAACCTCCTTAAGCACTCTACATCCAAACATGGTGA